AAGGGAAGGGAAGGGAAGGGAAGGGAAGGGACAACAATTATATACATATGATGAGTTCTTGTATGTGTAAAGCTTAATACAACATTTCAATAAAGTATGACCATACTGCATTATAATTGTTTATACATAATCTATGCAAGCATAGTCCTAAATCATCAAACTTGAGATTCATCAAACTCCCCCTCTGGGGGAGATGGACAGCATATAAATTTAATAAATAAAATAAAATAAATCACAAGCCGTGTAGTTTTCATGCAAAAATATAGAAATGGTCACCACCTCCTTTTTCTGGAACGTTTTTCCATTTCTCAATCCAGGCATCTCCTGGTGGTCTCCCACCCACATCTGAACCAGACCTGATTATGCTTTTGCTTTGTTTAAAAAAAAAAACCACACACACACAAAATCTGAAATACTTAAATCATGCTATTATGTCCTGCGGACCTTCAGATAACTCTTATTTATTCATAGGGGAATTCTGCTCTCTGGCTTCAGCACCAGCCCTTTGCCGGATTTCATTGGATTCAGACAGAAATTAAGCAAAGTTAAATTAAGATTGCACCCCCTGCGCATGCGCCAAAGAAAGCGAGCTGCGAGCGCGTTGCCCCGGCGGCGGCACGCGCCCTCCAACCGCTTCAGAGACACAACTGCGCATGCTCAAGAGGACACCGGAAACTCTCACGCTTTGAGCGGTAGGCCGGTTGGTATTTAACATTCTCTCTTTGTACCGCAGCCGCAACCTTCGTCCTGCGATCCTTGACACTGACCAGCCCATGGTTGATGTCCGGCCCTTGACCGCCGCCGCTTCGGGCTATGTACTCAGCATAGCGAAGAGACTCTGAGGAACTCCCGGCCCGCTCTACCATGGTTAGTTCAAGGGGAGGGGGAAAGAAAAAGAGACCTACGGAAGGTCAGAAAGGACAAACTTCGTGAGCCTGTGATGGTCTCGCTGCGACTTCGGTTGTCCTGTCCCTTTGAACGCGGCTTTGTCCGAGCCCACGTGATAGTGCACATGCGCAGTAGCAGAAAGTGAAGCTGACCATGAGTTAGAATGCCAGGTCTGTTGCCTTTTCTCATTGCGTCTGGTTGCAAGAACTGATTTCTTTAGAATTTGTTCTTTTAACGCCAATTAAATCATTACATCAACAATCATTTTGTTCAGTCATATTCTTCTCTATAATATATAAGGACATTTATTTTTCTGAACCACATTAAATGTAAATTAGTGCTTAAAACACATTTTTAACCGTTCTGATTCGTTTGCCCAGGATGGCTTGTCCCAAGTGCGATTGAACAGTTTTGTAGAAAGGCGTGACTCAGGTGCAGTAGAAAGGCGAACAGCACGTGCAGCAGATACACGCATTTGAAACATTCCAACGTGCAATATTTTAAAATAACTTTAAAAAAAATTGGGGGAATGAATACATGCACTTTTAATTTAAAATAAAAATTTAATTGGGAATAACATGGCTTGGCCTGGTGCCAAAAGCATATAAAAGGATGAACTAGGGAGGCTTCCCAATGGGGTGGCATGCCGGAAGCCAGGGTCCCACCACTGAGAAGCCCCAACTTCAGCAAAGTTGACTGGTTGATCTCAGGAAGTTATATAAGGTTAGTACTTGAGTGGGAGACCACCAGGAAATCCCCAGGGTGTAGGCTAGACCATCCAGAAACAATGTCAGAAAAAAATACTCAGAAAGAGCCAAGGCAAATTTTCTCCATATTATTGCCAAGAAAACTCCGTGGATATGTTCACATAATCATCAGACATCCAACTCAACCTGAAGGGAGTCTCTGCTGAAGTTGACTCCTAGCCAACCTTGGTTGACCTGTAAAAATCTGACCCTGCTTATCTGAGATTAGCCGACATCGGCTAGGCGCTGTGCCTAACTGGAGCCTTTCAGCACTGCTGCCAGGCGAATTTGTGAGGGCGATGTGGTCGCGCAGCTGCCAGCTGCTCCTTATACTTGTTTGTGGCTTTCTCAGGAATGCGGGCTATACACTTCCTCCTCTGTTTCAGTTTTGCTCCTGCGTCAAGTCCCTCAGGCTTAGCGGGTTCAGAACAGTTGCCAGAGAGAAGGCACGTGGCGTCTGCAATATAATTCAAATTTCTTTGCCGCCGTCTAGCGGTTATCCGGATTTTCGAAGCCAAAATCTGATAGCCCTACTAGCTTCTAACATAGCAGACATTGTTTGATTGATGGATTATGTGCGTCCAAGTCAGTGTCAGCTCTTAGCAACCACATAGATACCACACTGAACATTTAGGGGGCATCTGTTTATTCCAAAAGGGGCACCAGGACTGATAGCACCCCTGCTCCCATGAGCAGTCATTCTCACTTCCATCAAGCCTGATGTCAGTCCTTTGATCAAGAAACAAATAACAATTGCAAGAATGTCCCTTTATTGTCCTAGGCAGTGTTTCTCAACCTTGGCAACTTTAAGATGAGTGGACTTCAACTCCACCCACTTTCCCTCCCCCTCCCCTTCGCGGCGGGGTGTAGTGGGGGTGAGTGACCGCTCTCTATTAAATACGACGCAAGTGAAAAAAAT